TACTCCTACTCCTACTACTCCTCCTGCTCCTGCTGTTGCCAGTGCGACTTATACTTGTTTTTCTATTGAGAATTTGCTTTGATCGGCGGAACTGATATGGTAACGGTTGGATTTCCTTTTGGAGTTGGGTTTTGGTTATACGAGCAGGCCACGTGGCCGGAGCCACATCGTTTTGCAGGGGCTGCCTGGAGCCCCAGCTTCCGGATTTCTGGTCCAAGGCTTGCAGCACAGCTACTGTAAAGTTTGGGGATCTACACGAATTTGAATCAGATTTCCAAGGGAAGGTCTGGCTTTGAGTGCCAACTTCAGAGTCCTTCCCGGGCTTTTGCATAGCTAGGTTGGTTGTCGGCCTGTGAAATAGTCTGAAGCTGCAAGAGAGTCGCCCACAGGCATTGAAGTTCTTCACGCGGCTGCCACCACCGAAGGCGCCTTGCACAGTGACATGTCGAGCAGCAGCGAGTTTTGCTGCGTGCTCCAGAGACAGTGCAGTTGACTTCAGGGTGGGCATTTTTTTTGCTTTCCTCTCAAGGCTACCATCGCCTCCAACGACGGCTTCAAGGAGTACCCATAAGTGCCTCCGAAAGTTGGCCAGCCGTTCTCAATATTTTCAGTTGCCGATCACAGTTGCTTCGATCTGGTGCAGGAGGCCGCTGCCAGCACTTCTGTGATGCTGCAGTTCGAAGGTCTGGCTTGGCTCACGTGCAGCATACGACCTACGGCATGACTGGCAACGATGAAAATAGAGAGAGACGCTCGGGTGACCGCCAGGTGTGTCGGTGCTTGCCGATCCCAACAGCGACTTGGAGGATTGCACACCTCTTGCAGTTGCAACTGCCTCTTCGAAGAAAGTAAGCGATTTTCTGTCAACGCTTAAAAGCCGTAAGCAAATTTGAACCGATCCTACTCTCATGACAGTGTTGTTCAAAACTGCAGGCCGAGCTTCGACAGATCAACCCTGCCTCGGACAACCCCGACCAGCCAAGGTCTCAAAAAAGGTATTGGCAATGTTGGAAGAATGCAGCACAGCATGCTCGCTTGCGTTTAAGGCAGCATCTGAAAGTCGCTGATCCTTCGCGGGTCTTCTTTCTCGGGAGCCAGGCACCCCCCGACTAAAGAGATGAAGAGTGCAGGGGAGTGCAGGCCGTGCTTCTGTGGCAGTCGTGAGCCATTGTGCCCAGATCATGCTGTTACCTCTGCGGCCGTTACATCCTGGAACATCGTCAGCACCTCAGGGAAGCCACCTGGCCCATCCTCTTGCCCACTGCAGCCAATCGACTCGTCCGAGGTACAACTTCACGCTTCCAGCCGGGGTCGTGCACCATTTTGACCAGCCCTGGTCTCATCCCTTCACGCTCACACGACACTGCGAGAGAGGAAGAGTGTGAGGTGTTCTCGCAGCACGGCTGTGATCTTGAGGCCTTTCTCGTTCGTGTTCACGACTCGCCCAGAGGACCATGTTGCCCCAAGCAAGGACCCAAGCGTGTGTGTCGATGTGGGTCGTTCGGTTTTGCAACAGAGCCAGCAAACAGGGGTTTGTCGCGGGGCGCGGCGACTGTACCGCACTCAAGGCATAGTGTGGACTTGGCCGATGATGTCAGTCTCCAAGCTCACCATCGACAGGCTGGGGATGCAGACTTGAGCAACCGGCCATGCACACTCTAGTATGCTTGGAGGATGCTCGTGCACCTCTACTTCTCCGAGGAGGCAGCATCGTGCGGTTTTCCACGCCTGCAAAAGCGCGTCTTACCTCAGTCGAGAGTGCTGCACAAGCCCGAAAATCGGTAGCCAGGTGAAACCTGGCATGTCGAAGTTCGTGGTGATGGAGGACGGTAACGAGAGGTCCCTGGGATTGCCTGGGTGGGCTAACGGCCTGTACATGGTCTGTCTCTGCAGGTTCCGATTCGATGTGTCGCAAGACCTCTGCGAGGAAGGTGCCAAGTGTGTGAGCGTGCAGCCGCAGAGATAACTCAAGGCCAGCAACTCCACAACCAATGACGAAGAACGTTTTGCATCGCTGCCGAACAGTCACAGAAGCATCTGCGTTCTACACAAAGCCACGAATTCTGCTTTTGGCCAGGTCTCTTCTTCCGTGGCTGCCTGCGGCTGGACCTTGCTGGAAGGCGCCTTTGTGCACGACGGCCGAGGGCCTCCAGATGCCTCCAGATGCCTCCAGCTCTGCAGAGCTCTGCAGGCGGCTGTCTCTGCTTCCAGCCGGGCTCGACGATCAAGGCTGGACGCCCAAAAACACATGCGAAGGAAGGTGCTCTTCCTCTCTTCTCTACTCTGGCTCCGAGGTCGGATGCTTCCATGGGCCGATGCCGGAAGGAGATTCGCAGAGACGTGATTAGACTCGCGATGCTAAGAAACTCATAGGATGAAACTGCTGATTGGACAGGGCCTCACTGAATTCGTTGCTCCGACCTGTCTGTCCGCAGCCAGTTTACCGGTCACAGACATGCCTGCACACGAGTGTGGTGTCAGCGTCATGTGCAAGGCCTCATTTCCCCCAGAACCCCAAACCTTGCAAGAGCTTCTCCCTTGCGACCATCGGGCGTGCTTGCCTGAGCTGATTTTGTTGACTCAGATCTGATGCACTCCTCTGGAATGCGGGAAAGTGCCGGACGAGATCAAGAAGGCAGCCGAGGATGGAGGAACCTGGCAGCCACCGATGCGGCCCAGACAAAGATCAAGGTCTTGGTCTTAGAGCGCACATGATCGCTGACAGAGCGGGAAGTCATCTCCTGCATTTTTGCCTTCGGTGTTGAATGCTAGAAGGTGCCGTGAGTTCAATAGTGCCATGACAGTCAATGACAATGACATACTGTAAAATGACATTATGATAGGAATTTTGGCATCAGGGAAGGCTTGTTCCCACGGATGGCCCACCCTGTTCTTGCATCGAGGATAGATCATCTCGGAAATAATCTGGTTGGTGAGCAAGCCACCATGCGACTGCGAACTCAGGGCAGCGCTGACGATGAGGATCGGGCCGTTTCTGTCGGAGTTGGTCTTGGTAACATTGGTGACAGAGACGGTTGCAGGTCTAGGTCCGCAGCAGAAAGATTCTTCAACCTTCCGGTTTTCAAGCTCCATTTGTAGATAGGGGCGCGTGTACTCTGTGCGCGTGCGCGCCACCCCTGTCACTGGTGAAGGATTCCGAATTGCGCCGAGCGGTGAGCTTCTTCCCCAAAGGCTGGGCGGGAGATGTGGATGGGGTAAGGTGGACGGATAGGAGGAGTGGTGTTTTTTTTTTGTGGTCACTCTGCTGGGCTTTTTGTAGACGCCGAGCGATGTGACCAGCGTGGGCGGTGGCTGCTACTGCTTCCGCGTCACCTCACCTTACCCTCAGCCTAAGCCCTAACATGCCTCCTGCTGCCTGCTCGCTTCTTTTCAGGGCGGCTCTCCCGATGCTGCGGCAGCATACCCGTGGGCTTCCGAGATGCGGACAAGGCAAGGGACGCTCGTTGTGCGACGGGATTAGGCCGCAAGGGTCTTCACGGAAACGTCGGGTTGCCGTCAGCCTCCGCACCAGGCACGGGGTTCTCACCTTGTGGCCCCGAGTTCCTAGCTGTACCCATCCCGTTGAATTGGACCCGAGTTGTACCCATCCCGGTGACTTGGGCACAGCCTTGACGGCATTCCATGCGTCCGTAATCTTTCTGTGCACGAGCCAGGTTCTCATAAACCAATGGAAGGGTCTAAAAGCGTGCAAGCACGCTGCCTCTCCTTTCTCACCCGGTGCTAATGTGGGTGTTTACCTCCTGCCTCCTCCTGTCCTCACCGCTGCAACGGCACATCAGTTGCAATCATAGTTAGGGTCTTGGTCATGGCCTTACACCACCAAACCGTAAGCCGCAGTCTTCTCAGTCTTAAGTCGTAACCAAGGCCTCAGCCACGAGAGACACAAGAGTGGTTACATAGATAAGAACACCAATCTCAGAGTAGTGTTTGGTGTGTTGCTTCCTGCAAAGGAGCAACCGAGTATGCAGAGTACTTGAGCTTGTCATGTCCTGTACGTCTTTCGAGCAATGCCTGACCTGTCCACGACCTATCTTCTTGTTACCCGTGCCTTCCAAGGCTCTTATTTCCATTGTCTTTGATGGTCGAACTTGCAGGAGCAGCAGTATCGGCAGCAGAAGAAACAGAGGCGCAGCAACTCAATCCTGCAGGGTTTTGGGTTCTTTGTGTTTCACCACCCCGCCACCCTGAAGATGCTGACATGCTTGCGGTGTCTTGCCGACGTCAGCTCAATACATGAGAGACTGGAGAAGATGCCAACGAGCAGACTGTTTGTGTCTAAGGCTGCGGAAAATTATGTGTCGCATTTGCTTCGTCAGCTTGGCTGCTAGCTTGCAATGATGCGATGCGCTGCGTCTGACCAGCACGGCATGCTGCTACGCCTTTGAACCACTAGCTTGTTTCCTGTGGGGCCTTGATACCACAATGGAAGCAGGATCAGTAAAACATGAAGCCGAATGGACTTCTGCAAGGCACGTGTATGGTGTGCAAGGAGGGCCGAGGCGTCCAGAGCAGGCTTTGAGGACCGAATGTTTGCTTAGGTTGCCCATATCTTCGTCGTACTTACCGATCTCCCAACAGTGGCTGCTCGGAGCTGCATGCGACATGCCTTTGCTCGGTGGTGTTCGTATGCAGCCGCGAATTGCTAGGGATGAATACAACAAATGTGTTTTCCACTCTGCTCCCAATTAGATATCGAGTACATGCACGACTTCCATTGAACTGCAGCACACGTAGTTAGTGTGAGTAATGCATGTCGAACTGAGGATTTCGAAAATCTCACGAACGGCGCGCAGCTCTACGTGGGAAGCTTGAATTCTGGATGCAATCTGGCCGTTGAAGCGATGCAAGCCCAAAGACCTGAGGCCATCCAATAGGCATTAGGTAGCTGGCAGCTTGAGTGGTCGGAATTCGCACGTACTGTTGACCAAAACGTGGTGTGCTCGATCCGTATTTTTCGCTTCAGTCACAGTTTTTGCCTTTCCCAGTCCATGGCCTAAGGACGATTATTGCCATCACTTCGACGGTTGGGATGGTCTGCAACATGCTGCCTGAGGCGATTGCAGAGCAAGAGAGACTAGGACTAGGAGCGCCTAGAGGAGCTAGAGCAAATGGGCACGTGGTAGATGCGGTGTGGAGGAGGTTTGGACTTCTCGGCTCTGGTCTAGCCCGTGAGGTTCTGGTGCCCTGGCTCTTCTTCGTCGCATCCTTCGGGCTGATGACGCCTGGTCGCAGCAGAGCACGCACTCCATTGCATCGCCCTGCACGGAGCCTGGAGCAGCTGAGGGTTTCGAACCGATCGCGAGCCGCTTTCCTCGCGGGCGAGGCGCTTTCGGAAGCCCGGAAAGCCACAGCTGGAAGCCTCTGCTCCTTTTCTGCGTCTTCATCTTTGTCTCTGTCAGTCTATCGAAGTCGCCTTTGCGAACATCGCCACGATCTCCGACCTGGCATACTGCGCGCTGCTGTCGGATTCCAACTTGGTGGGCAGCTAGATATCATGTTCAGCAAGTTCAGCTTGTTACAGGGACAGACATTTCCGGCAGTCATTTCCTTTGTGCCTGTGCGCAACTGCCTGAAGTACTTACGAAATTCAGTCAGTTCTCATGCAGAGTTGGAGCAGTGAACGGTGTCGCAGCAATCTGAGATCTCCGAGCAGCATTCCTTCGCAAAAATACAACTTGCCACCAACACTGCCGAGTACGGGAAGTGAGTGTTGGCGTCAGGCGGAGTTTTTGTATTAGGCGACAAGCCCCGCTCGATTGTCAGTCCATTGGACAGGCGTATTCATGTCGCCACGGTTGCGCATACATACTTGACGGTAGCAGGCGATGCAGAATAGTATCTCAGGCAATTTAGCGTGCCTCATCGTCGTTTACTATGTGGTGTTGCCGGTCCGTGCAATTGCGGGGAGCTCAAGCAGTGCGCGGTGTGCGCCAACTCTGCTGCCGCCCAACCTGAAGGCTGGTGCCTGGTTGACTGTGGGCATCCCCGTCCTCTACCTCGTCTTCACTGTGCCTAAGAGTGAGAAGGATGGTGGTCTGGTACCATGGCCAGACTGAAACTGTGTTACTAGCAGAGAGATATCTGTGATGACACTCCGATGCACTGTTCTCCCTGGCTCTGACAACTGCCTTCCAAGGCACGAACACTTGGCGTCGCGATCCGTTTGCTCATCTGCTGCCTAGTGGGTCTCTTGTCCGATGCGAATGTTTTGCATTGGAGACTCATGAAAGAGAGGAGGACCGGCCAAACGTTCAGAGTGGTTTGAGAAGCATGCGAATCGGAAAGCCTTGCCAGGTAAGGGTTGGGTGATAAGCAAGGGTTGCGCCAGATTTTGTCTGAGATGTCGAAGCTTCGGGTACTGCTGCGAGAACTGTCCCAATGCCCCGCTTGAATGGAGTCAGAGTTTTTGCATGCATTTGCATGCTGTGTGTCAGCTTCAGAGGCTTGGTCGGCCGCTGCTACATTGAGATGGGCGAGAGGCCAGCGACTGTTCAGTGCATTCTGGAAGAGGAATGATGACATTCTGGTCGGAGATGATCCTCCTGATTCAGGTCGGCCCTCTTACGGGTCCGCAAAGTGGAGGAGGCATGCGGAATCATGTGCCTTACCGAGTCAGCTCTTGACTTAGCGAGCCTGGCTTGCTGCAGCGGGTTCTGCTTCTGCCTTGGTTTCATGGACGATTGGCATGTGTGGCTGCCGTCAAGATGGTATGGAGGACCTGACCCAAGAGAAGGTTCTTCGCTTTGCCGCCGAGCACGAGAATGCGAGCCTTGCCTTGGCCTTCCGGATACGCTACACAATATTGTGCACGCGAATGCTTGAGAGAGGCTGTGGTCATTGCATTTGCACGCATAGTTCCTACAAGCCCCGAGCTTTCAAGGAAGGGACCCTTTTCCCACAAGGCCGAGGCTGAGGACTCTGGGGAGCCACAGCAGCTGCTTGCCAGCACAAGATGCTGTTCACTGCGTTCTGATCGTCACAGCGTGGCATGCGTGTCCGGTTTGAAGTGCAAGGCCAAACACAGCTGCCGAACGCGAGAACCGCAGTCTCGTCGTTCCCATCAACGACGCTGCTAGTGCAGTGGCTTCGATGGCGAGCCGTCCTCTCAGCAGCCACTCCGCCGCACTGCGTCAGGCTGCCCGCAACAACTCCTGTGACGCTATCAGTCGAAGTTGACACATCTTCGACTCCATTTGTTTGCTGCAAGCAAGGCATCATCTTCACCCCGTCCGAGTCGAGTGTGATGGCTGCAAAGATTCGGAAACGTATGCGTGTGGTACATGTGGCAGGGCATGCACCACGCTGAAGGCATTTGCTTTTGCATTCTGTGGTGGAAGCACCAACCCATTTAGGGGAAGTGCCGGTCGAGTTGCAGCTGTCGGCCATCAAGGCTCCGATTGAAACGTTTTCGAGTGTCAAAGAGTTACGCACCAGGACATTGCGGGGAAGTAGAGGCAGCCACTCGGGCTTTCTCAGGTTTCCTTAGGCCTTAGGCGTCCCGAGTCTCGTATTCAAGCATCCACTGGAAAAGCTTTGAACTCTTGACTCACCAACATTGGAAGAGGCTCCCCTTGTCCGGCTTCGGGGTAGCGATCGCAGGCCGTTGCTGCCGAAGAGAAATGGCTCATCTCCTGGTCCGACGTGACGTTCCAGTCCAACCTGCTTGGACTTTGGGGCTGCAGAATTCAAAACCTGTGCTGTAACTCAGCTGGTGATCATCTCAGGAAAGGGCGGATACGCCATGGTTGTGCAAGGCCAATATGCAGGCCGCCGGCCGCTTCTTCTGGGCGGAAAGAGGGGTTGCGGTCCGGGGCTCCTCGCGTGCTGCCCAGGTGCGCGTGTGGCAGTAAAGATGCCCTCCAAGGAGCAGCTTTCCACGCGGGGAGCCTAAGCCTGTAGAGCACCGCTGCGGGTACTGCGGCCTTAAATTGAATCCTGAGGTCCAAAGAGGTTTCGGACTTCTTTGGCAAGGCAGGGACGCGCTTTTCTGAAGTACTAGTAGGAGAAATCGTCAACCACTGAATGGAATCTGCAATTGGGGCCCTCATCTCTCTTGATCTCCTGAGGCTTCGGATTTGCGGCTCAACGCCTCAGTAGTACCAGTCGTGGTGGTAGAAGTACTAGTAGGGTTAGTGGTCGTGGTGGCGGCAGCGGAAGCAGTGGTGCCAGCGGCAGTCGTGGTAGTAGGAATACCAGCAGCACCAGCAGCAGTCGCGTCGCAGCAGCAGCCGCGGCAGCAGCAGCAGCAGCAGCAGCAGCAGTAGCAGCAGCAACGGCAGCGGCAGCGGCGGCAGTATAGCTCGTCGGCTTCGTGGTCATCATCTGCATCAGCATCATTGCCACCACCATCAGCCTCGTCATTCTAATTCGATCCTATCCCACCTATCCCATCACATCCGATCGCATCATGTCAAGCCATCAAAATCCTCACCACCATGTTTATGACCGGCCATCGTCATCCTCGCGGCCTTTTACCCTCATCGTTTCTGTCTTCACGTTCGTCTTTGTTTTCGTCTTCGTCATCGCCGTGCATATCCTCACCATCTTCACCTCTACCATCCTCACCATCCTCACCATCATCACCATCATCACCATCATCACCATCATCACCATCATCACCATCACGGTCGTCATCATCATCATCATCGTCATCACTGCCCCCACTACCATCATCATCTTCCTCCTCACCTCCTCCTCCTCCTCCTTATCACTGTCCTCATCATCCTCACCGTCATCAGTCGTTGGTACGTGAGCATTCCGCAAATCACAGGGTAAAGGCGTTCGAAGGCTCTGCTCAAAGGCTGAATATCAGGCCGAAGGCAGCTGCTGAGTTACAGTGCATTGCCTCACGGACAGACAAGGTTCTAGAATCCGGACGTCCCTGCTAATGGTCCTGTAGATCGAAGAAGAAGCTTGATACGCCCGCCTACAGCCCACGGATCACGCAGTGCTCGGGCGACAGACCACATGTTTTAAAGCGATTTAGCGGCGGCCTTGTTATGGGGCCATACCGTCAGGTCTTGTCCAAGTCCCAAGACCGGCTCAGGTGTGCATGTTACATGTTCTACGGAGACAGTGTGACCCTGCTTGTTGCTGCAGGAGTTGAGGGTGCTTCGCCACCTTCGCCATCCGCACCTTGACATCGGTTGCTTTTCGGTGTTTCTGGTGCTTTACGTATGTGTATGCTCATGTGCTCTCTCAGGTTCATTGTGAACTTCTACGGCGCTTGTATAGAGGACACCAAGCAGCTGGTGGTTCTCATTGAGGAGCGAATCAAAGTCTGCCAGTGCAAGTAGAGGCAGTTGCATTTGCCCTTAGCAAATTTTGACACAAGACTCGGCAAGGAGTACATTGACGGATCAAGCCTACACGCAACTCTTCAGCACATGGCCGTTCGGATCGTTGAAGAGCTTGCGGAAGGGGTCCTGGACGGGTGCGATCCATGTAACTCCGGATACGGAACAATCGAGCTTCAATCTCTAAATCGGCTTTGTTCGGCGAATAGCAGCAAATCATTCTACAACCTATTCTAGACCATATAGACCATCAGAAAGGCAAGAAGCCGCAATGTATTCGACAGAGCTTGACGGACTGCTTGTTGCCAAACAGAGCTTCTCCTGGGCTGTTGCCATGGTGCTTTGGGGATGAATATGAAAGAGAGATTTGGCCGAACATGACGGGCCACTCGATCAAAATGTCGGAGAATTCACCAAGGCAGAGCCTTGAGTCGTGGCCTTGTCTTTGCTTCCTTGGCTCCGGTCAATAGCTCACAGGTGCCCTCAGGTTTGCCGAGCAGCTCAGGACATGATCCTCTTCCAGAAGGACAGGCGGCCACTGACTCTGCAAGATGCGCTGGTGTCCCATCCATGTCTCCAAGCAGTGCAATCAAAGCGGTACAGCCGGCGCGCACGGCAAATCGCGCAGACAAATCATGGCTACACATGAGACTTTGCGACCACGAGGTTTACCGAGCAGGTCAGGTGGCAGACTCTCAGCTCTGTGACTTGGCAACTCGATCAAGGGCGGCTTGAAATATTTCAGAATCTCATTGGCCAGCAAGGAAGACTGTGAGGGCTTGGTTTTCAGCGAATCTCGCATCTTCTGAGGTCACCAGCAGTGGGTTCCGGGGTTTCGTCGATGTGTTCTGTTTCTGGGAAGTCCAGCTCGCACATCTCGCCGCAGCATAGCTTCCAGCTTACTCAGCGGTTTGTCAAATTTCCTAGTTTGCGAGGTCGGTCATGCCCTGATGTACTTGCACGATCAGGCTCACAGGGGGCATGGACCTGTACTCCTGCTGCGGTCATGTGCCCGGTGCACAGGGGCCAGCCATCCTGCATGGCGACCTGTCAGCCAAGAACATCATGATGCGGGCCGACAGGCTCGGCTCGGAGGGCGGTGTCTGCAAGCGCCGCTTGACGGGTGCCTGGACTTCCAAGAGGAACTCCTGCACATTCTTGCTTGCTACGAAGAGCTTCCAAGAGCCCTTTGCAGATTGGAGCCGGTGCTCATCGACTTCGGGATGGCGGTGCTGCACAAGTCACGGCAGAAACTCCAGGGAGGCGCGAGAACGCTCTCGCTTTAAGCCCTTCTGACGTACAGCGTCTTGCACAGAGGCTCTCCACGCTGGATGGCGCCGGAGCTGATCAGCTCTCTGAGCCAGGGAGGCCTCGCACCAGGCCCAATTGATGAATAGGGTGGTTATTGGTAGATTTGGTAGCGGGATTTCTTGCTTCAAGGGGTTTCATGCAGGGTACGCAGTAAGCACAAAACATGCAAGATGAAAAGAAAACGGCACAGAGCGAAGCGTAAAAGCAGAGAGCACCGCCATCAGCAGCCTGCCTCCCAGACTGTAGCGTGGACGTCTTCGCCTTCGGCCGCGTCTGCTTCTTCGTCGCCACCGGGCAGTTGCCGCTGCAAGAATACACGGTGGACGAGCTGAAGCCTGGCGGCAGAGCAGTTCAGCACAGGGCCAGATATCTTAAAGTCACAGCCCCGCCCGGCCCACATCCCTAAATCCTGAGACTGTCTCAGACTTCGTCAACATCCAAGGCATAGCCAAAACCCGCACAGACTCCGCTACAGAATCATTCCGAAGGAACACCCTTGAGCATCTCAACCCTCAACCCGAATCCTGGGGCTTGGGTATAACATACCACATATAGTTTCAGGTAGTATAAGCTGTAAAATGCAAAGTCCGATTCATAATCTAGTAAGGTTTAGGGTTTAGGGCTTACAAAGGTTAGAATCCCAGACATCTATATCTATGTCTATATATATATACATACATACATACATACATACATACATACATACATACATACAATATATATATATGCATATCTATATCTATACCTATACCTACATCTGCGTTTACATCTATATCTACATCTCTGTGTCCATCTCTATCTCCATCTCTGTCTCTGTCTCTGTCTCTGTCTCTATCTATCTATCAATCTGTCTACCTACCTATCTACCTATCTATTTATCTATCGATCTATCTATCTATCTATCTATCTCTCAATCTATTTATCTGTGTATATGTATGTATGTGCATATATATATATATTCTCTTTTAAAGAGATGTATATATATATATATATATATATTAATTACAGATAGGGTTGTTTCGCTTCGGTCGAGGATGGCGGCCTCAGAGCAGGGGCAGCTGCCCCCAATGAAGTGGCCCGTGCGGGGCCACAGCTTGGAGGTGCCTTCGTTGTTATATTTTTGGTGGGTGGAGGGTTATAGGGTTTAGGGTTTAGGGTTTTTGCTAGGGAGTTTAGTATGAGCTACAATAATGAGGGATCCTATTCTTTGCTATAGATCCCCATTCTGGCAACAGTTAAGCTCCAACCAGAGCCCAGCTTTCGGGGGTTTCGAAGCGTTTTTTTTAGTGAGTGCGTGAGTATGTCTCTGTGTGCTTTTTTTTGGGGGGGGGGAAGGTGACGGGGTTCGGGGTTTCAATATTTTGGGGGTCTCAGAGTTCGAGGGTCTGCGAAAGCTGAGAATGTCGAGCAGAGAAGAGGGCATTGCTGGTGTTCTTGTTTCATCTTGGAGAACCCAGATCGTCAGGTTCGTGATTTCCTCGCCCAACATGTATGGAATCCGGAAACCAGCGAGCCCAGGACAGCAGTCTCATCGCGTTCTGCAAGGCCCGGCACGGTAATCCTTCGAATAGCTCAGTTCTAAAAAGTAGCCGAGATAGCACAGGCAAGCATGCTTAAGGTACGGTGCACTGCAGAGTCGACTGTTGCTTTTCATCTGCCTTGGTTGGTCATGTTTCTGTCCGACTGTCTACTTGTTTCAAGCAAATCAGCTGTTCTGGTGACAGGGATTCGGCACCAATATTTTCAGAGTAACCCAGCATTTGCGTATGTGCTTTGCGCCTGCGCCACTGAAGTGTAGACTCAGGAGGAGCTCTGCGCAGACCTCAGCTTGCTGCAGATACACTAGGAAGGGTGGGTCCTGTACCGAGAAAGTGTCTGGGTCCTCGCTGGCCTGTGCTCCTGTCCCCCTGAGCATGTGGCACCTCCAGAACGAGCATCCCAGATCTGAGGCCCGCTCTGTGTAGCGACCAGCCCAACAGATCGGTGCAGCTCTGCGCAGGTTCGGAGATTTCATGCCGTGGTTCAGAGTCCATCTAAGTGCTCATACCCTAGCGGCGCGACAGAGCCGCATCAGCTGTAGCAATCTTGAAAAATGACAGGGCAGCAAAAGCCAGCCACTGTTGCAGAAAGCTCCGAGCATTGTGCTCGCACGCTGCAAGAATCTTAATGATAAGCTTAGGGTCATGTACCCAGTTTACCCAGACGATTGAAGCAGAAATTTGCGCACAGATTTTGCATGTTTGAAAGTGCTTCTGTTGCCTCGACCATGCATAAGCTGCCCAACATTATGTGATCCAAGAGGCAGTCAACCTCCTTCAGCTGCAACGACCAGAGCCAAAGCGACTTGCCTCAAGAGTTCGACAGCATTTTAGAAGCTGTTGTGGCATATATGTTCTGGAGTAGCGAGGTGATTTCTATTGTTTCGTGCATGGTCGGCTTGCTTGGGAGTGCCAGCCAGAACATGCCTTGAGTAATGCATGTGGCTGTCAGCCTATCGTCTTTGTGATGGGCCTGTCGGGTAACTGCTACCAGTAGCTGTTGAAAAGATGAGCTTCCGAACATGTCGCCCATGAGAGCAGGGCCTGAGCTTACGGATGCAATTTGTAGTTGTCTTTTCGAGGATGTGTTGATTCCTGACAGCGACGCGCTTCCCACGAAGGTTTGATGCTCTCAGTGCCGTAGAGTTCGCTTTGGCGGCAGGAAGTCCGGAAGGCCGGTTCGGGAACTGGGAGCTGTCGATGGTTCAATGTTGGACGAGAAGAAGCTTTGGGGACACCTGTGCGCATGAAAACTCATGAACAGTCATCAAACCCAAGACCTAGTCCAGCTGTACACCAGGCAAGTCTTGTTACCGTCGGAGTAGTTCCCTCAAGATCCTGATTGGTGCTTGGTACGAGCCCGCACATAGATTTGGTGCAGATGAGACTGCTGTGCTTCAGGCATGCCCGTGAAAAATGAGCGGGAAAGCCTACACTTGTGATTCAGTCTCACCAATGCGGCTCTGTGCCGTTCAAGAACATGGAACAGACGAAGCTGCCTGTGTACAGGTCATCGTCACTTGATGGTCTTGGTGGAAGTCCGTAAGATCGGTCGTAAGCTTGCCTGAGGTTTTACTTCAACAAAGCTTCAGTAGTTTCCTTCGGGGAGCTGAAGCCGGGATGGAAAAGGAAATGTAAGCGGTAGCGAATTGTCGAGTCTTCCCTTTGCCAGAACACGCCTGGAACCAACTCCGAAGATCATGGACAGCAAGCATCTGGCAATGGTGGCGGGTCGCTCCGAAGAAGCACGCGCAGATTTCGACTCAAGGGTGGTGTAAGCACTGAGTCCCAGCCAGCTGCAAGAGGGTAAATTAGGGCCCGGCAGCTGACGGCAAGTGCAATTTTTTTGGTGGGGGAGAATTCCGGCTTGGTGCCATCAGGTGGTGCCCGCCAGGACTTGCGTAGTAGAGGGCCGGACGAATTGCTGGGCTCGAGTAGATGTTGTTTTGCACAGCTGGACTGGCCTGGGAGTTTTCGCACTCGCTGTGATAGCAGTATAGTATAATAGTCATCCACAGCAATCTGGCGCGATTCCAGCTATGCGCTTCCGCTGAATCTGCCGTGCTAAGTCAGGCAAAATCTGTTCCGAAACCCATGCTTTACAGACGCCACCATCTTGGACAGTCTGGAGCTGGGCTGACCGACTGAGAACATTCGTGCATCGATACCGATGGAGTCGCGCAGAAAGTTCACGGCATTCCTCGGGTTCTTCAGCCAGACTTGTGCTCGTTGGAGCAAGAACGGAGGAACACGAACCCTCCATGAAAGAAGTGTTTGACCGGAGGACATACCACCTGCAAATCGAAGAGGCAGCCTTCACGGATGTGCCAGCCTCATGGGAGACGGCAATCCAGCGAAAATCTCGCACTTTCATGCGTAGGATGGGCTGTGTGAAGAGCTAGTCTTTCGTAAGCAACAGGACCCAGCTCTACTCATTTCTTCCAGGCCGTCACTGTGGGGGAACTCCAGAAGAACTTGCTGGCAGAGTGCGGTGCTTGGGTACATCATCATGCCTTGCACAATCCAGATTGGTCATTGCATCCTTTGCGTTCGAGGTCCGGCTTCCACTTCTCAGTGCACCCGGACACTGACGGTCCAGCCGTTGTCCTAGGTTTTCCAGTTCTAAGTTCTAGTCCATTCGTGGCTGATCAGCGCCAGTTGCCGAGTGAATTGAGACCTGAAGAGTGGCTTGTTGAGGTGCTGGCAGAATCAGAGCCAGCAAACAACTCCGGCGACATCGCACGGGCCTCGGCTTTGCGTGGTTTTCAATGATAAGAGCTGTCTTGCTGCAATGCTGGAGTTATCAGACATGGGGAACGTAGAAGGGCTAGGCATGGTACAGCATGTCGGTGCCTCCAGAACGTTGCCCGTCACGTCCTGCTGTTCAGGATCCCGCGATGGAGTCCGTACTGCTGATCTTCGACGAGCCAGTCAAGGTCCTCGAGGGCAGTGCAAGGGGTTTCCTTGCTTCTCGGGGTCATCGTTTCGCAAGCAGGTCGTGGACAGCGACTTCGGTGTTCGCAGCGCCGTGGTCCCACGGTTCGGAGCGCGGCCGCGCCTGGAAATGCCACGAGGCCTCAGCAAAGTTAATTCGATTTGGGACCCAAGGGGACACCTCTGAGATCCCTCTCCTTCTCCGGACGAGACCTGCCTTGCAGGTGCCGTCGATGTCAATCCGGAGGCTGGCCTTACTCGTGCGGTTGCAGTCGGCTTTCACTGGGCTGGTCCAGCCGCCAACATGACGAGGGCTGCGGGGTGCAGTATGCAGAAAGAGCTTTTTGGGCTCGTCACGATTCCTGCGATTGTCTTAAGTCTGGCGAGGTGGGATTTGCTCCGTTGATCTTCGACTTTGATGTCGAGGCCCACTGCATCCAGAGTCAACTGCTCCATGCTCAGGTGCCGTAAAGACTCAGCGGCGAAGATCGAATCAGATTTCAGACGGCACCCCAAACCTCAAAGCATAAACTGACGAGTATGCCCCACCCGCTTGAATGGGCGCTCGAGCCAATGGTCCTGTATCCCGTACATCAAGAGGTCAGGCCGTTCGTTACTGGCTAGAGCTGCACCCATGGCAATGGCCGCGCGCAAAGTACGCGAACCTGAGAAGGAACCCGCGCGCGATTGCGGGCGGACGGTAGAAGAAGCTCTGATATCCTCACGTTTGCACCAGGCCGGGAGCGGCTTCTTCCAGATCTACATCTGGCACACTGAGATTTCGGGCTCTGGCCCCGATTGCCTCAAAGTGGAGATATCAGATTTTCCTTGACATGAGCCGACTCACGGCAAGTATGCCGAATTTCTGCAATTTTCTGCATGCATCGAATCGCCGGTAATGCAGACGAGAGCCGCAACGGCAGATGCGCGCTGCGGATTCACAGATACCGAGGTGAAAACGTGACTGTGGAGGCGGTGTTCATAAAGGAGGTGGGATGCCGGTTGATCTGTGGTTCGCTGCTTTCTCCAGAGAGTGCGACTGTAGTTCGCGCTGAGTAGTGCGGTGCAAAGTCGAAGCAGACGACGATTCCAACAACGACGGACTGCATTGCAAATTGTCTGCAAGTGTTGTTTGCGGTCCACTTCATGGCCCCTGCATGGCTGGCTACTGCTTTAGCCCGAACTTGGACACCCCAGTGTCGGGGGCCAGACCTTAGAGGTGGACGGTTTCGAATAAAGCGAAGCTCTGAGAGCTGTTGCAGGTTCCCGTTGAGGTGCCTGGCTCAGCAAGGAATATTCTCTACTCTGCCCGGGTCGGAGCTGGATGTGAGAGTTGGCTCCGGCCGCTGAGGAAGTCTTCTTCGTGGTGGCCTCAACAGCGGTGACCGCAGTGCAGCTCTGTCTCATGCCGGCTGCATCTCCGGGAAGAAGGAGAGCTTAAGGAACGTTGACTAACAAGAGGGTCTCGTGTCTGAAAAAAAAAAGAGCTAGACCAGATGATGCACACCCATGCCAGACATCACCTGCCAGACTGGGAAGTGCTGAGGTCCGGAACATGGTGATGTTGGATCCCTTCCCGCTGCCATTGGCAGAAGGGGCCACCTTCTGGGTGCCTCGCAGCAGTTGGCACGTCACGGGTCACTTTCTGCTTGCGCCTCTTTTTTTAGACACTGGCCTCTGGGAAAGTTGGCTGCGTTGAGATCCGCTGAGGTTGCCGCAAACCAGACTGCCGTGGTTGGATCGAACGGCGTTTTGATTGCCGACGGCTGAGGATAGGGATGGTAAGGGCGACGTGCACGGGGAGGGATGTAGCCTCGATGTGCAAGTGCTTCCGTAGCATGCACCGAAATCCAGAGTTTCTTCCTCCCATCGCTTGGGTAAACCTAGCTCGGCAGTGTCAGCGACAGACGTGAGGCTGAAGACTTCAACACTGTCAGCGAGGCAGTTTGGCAAGTGTTCCTCATGCCCATCTAATGGTTCGGCTCGCACGGTCTGGGTTTTGCCTGGCATGTGCTCCCTCGATTTAGCACCCTGCTCTTCCGCTCAGGGACGAGTGTTTTTTTGAGATGGGTGCCTTGATGATGCCATTTGAAGAAGACGGATGACAGGGACCGATGTAGATCCCAGCCTTGCCCTGGCTCAGGAGGAAAGAATTCTGCAGCAGTTTGCTCGAGCTGTCTTTTCTTGGCTTAGGGCTTTGGGCCATGGGCTTGGAGCTCCTGGGGAATTATGGATCCGTTCTCGTGACCATTGCCGTGCTACTGGCAGTGGAAGCAGCAAGCCGAAGTGGGAATGCAGACTCCTCAGTCAATAGCTTTGACCTGCTTAGATCCTAGATCTCTTGAACAGTATCAATATTCAGGAACTGCTGCGAGCACCGCAAGCCAGAAACATCTGCCATCATCTGTTCAGGCTATAGATGGCTCCCCATGAATATCTATGTACAGATTCTCTCCAGTTCGGAAAGCTGCGAAACACTTTGCAAGTTTGACTGCGTAGACGCACAGCGATGATCAATCAAAGATGCATCACTAGGAGAGACAAGGAGGGAGCGGCTTTCTTGCAGTCAGGTCCAGCTGTCCGCTGTGGCTGCCTCTCTTCCCACTGGAGTTCCGCTGGTGCCCAGCAATGGAATTCCGCCTTGCGCTTGCAAGTTTTCTTGACGCTCCTCGTGAGGCGCTCTTCCTGGTGGCTTGCAAGCCTGAGACTTCACAGGAGCGGGCCACGGGGAAGAGGGCAGCCATCTCCCCTCGAGCTCGAAGCCTCTTCTGTCAGGCCACCCTGGCTGAGTTTTCCGAGTCTGTGGTCCGGGGCGCTGCAGGCGCACCAGCAACAGACGTTGAATGTCTCGGGTGTGCTTCAAACGGGTTCCGCTTGACTCAGCTCTTTAAAGCACCGTCCCACATCACCAAAGTCCATAAGACAGGACACGGCAATTTTCAAGTTCTGCTGTATTGTGAAACAGCAGGGTGACAAGCAGAATTCATCCTCAAGCCCTTGAGGCTTTCTGAAGCTCACCCCAGTGCTTAGGAAAAGACGGATTTCGGCGGCGTTGCCCCCGAATTACTCCAGATACAACATGATACAACCTACCCTTGTCGGTTCCCTTCTCCCTCCTTTGAGGCACCCTGGCCTTCGCGGTGGCCATGGTCCTGGTGGTTCGGGCTGGCTTCGGAATGGTTGCTATGCGCCTCGAAAGCTTCCAGCTGCTTCGGGGAGTCGCATCAAACTCGATCGCTGCTCGGCTCTCGGTTTCAGCTGCAGGTTAGTCTGTGGCTACGCCGCATGGTTTGTCACCTGGTGCAGCCTCAGCTTCTTGATGGCACCGCATGCTGGCAAGGCCAGGCAGACACATTGTTTGACCTTCGCGGAAGCATCTGATTGGGCTTAGTCGCTTAGTCGTGCATCCAGATGGCGTGGAGGCTGAGTGAGCTGGAAGCCACCTTCAAAACATCCTGGCGCGCGGCCGATGGTCTTTGTCAAAAGGCGGGGAAGGTCTGTTCGATTTGCAATCAACTGTTGCGCTGGATGCAGTCGTGCTGAGCCAGAGCGTCAGGAAGAAGAACACGTTCAAGCCGTATGGCGAGTGGCGAGCGCACAGGATCGTCGCAGGTTGCTGAGATGCCGGCTGACGTCAAACTTCCTGCCGAATGGCGAATCGACGTCCAGATCGTTCACGCTGTCTGTGCAGAGAGATCCATCGAAGGTCTGCAGGACAGGACGGGTTACAGAAGCCTGCGCAGCGACAGTCGCATCTCAAAAGCTCGGTTCAAGCCGTTCAAGCCCCGTGCAGCAGAAAACAAGAGCGCCCATCGCCCGCCTGCTGACGGTGATGGTACTTGATGTGACAGCTCCAAGAGCAATTCAGCAGGCAGGCGTTGAGTTTCGCTTGGCGGTCACGGAGCTGCCAGGGACTCGGCTTGCTGGGGCCTTTAGGTGCAGGAGGTGCAGAAATCCAAGGATACTGTACGATCCGCATGTCCATCTCACCTTGCAGGCGAATCCTCTTCAACTCTATGCAGGACGGCTGAAGGGGTCGGGCCATCAGTGTTGAAGGCTGCAGAACTGTAAACTTTCTTGGATTTTGCTGGGCTGGCCCGTCCTCGCTCTGTATACTAGAACTGGTACGCCACAGGAGTGGCGATGCCACCCTACCAAGCTGTCAGATATAGAGTTCGAGGCTCAGCTGTTCTGCAGAAGGTGTTAAGGTGGACTCTTGGCCTTGGGCATGCGGTCCTGCGGTGACAAAGGTTGTACCTGAACGAGCGCATTCTGGAGCTGAACACCAGTGGGGGGCCGAGCTCCGATTCCGGCCGCGACGGGACGACGGGAACTTACGGCTCCTAAGGCAACCGAGAGTTGACCTTCCAGGCCTGAGCGGCGCATCCCTTTCGGCTTCGGCGTAGGCTTCTCACTCCCAGGACCTCGAAGGACGAGAGCTTTGGAGACTTCCAGCAGAGGGCCAGGCAGGGCAAGCGCTATACACCTCCTCTTTCACAAGGCTTCAGGAGGGCAAAGAGTGATCACTTCCCCAGGTGACGCTCGATCCGGAGCTGCCCTTCAAAGCGATGATTCACCTCAGCTCAGGGCTCAGAACGGTGTCGAAGTCTCGGAACGCTGCAAGAGGCGAGCAAAAACCCCGTGAGTCAGACACCTCGGTTCTTTGAGGCCACTTGGACCACTATCCTGGCGGGGTGGCCAACCCTCTGCCTGCTGCTGGGGGAGATTTCCGCCTGGTCGCTCGGAGCCCAGCGGAGCCTCGCCTTGGCTCGAAGCCGTGGTTTGAGTCTCGGCGAGGTGGACGAGGGGCTTTTCATCGACAGGCCAGAGATCGTGGAGGCCAAGCAGCACCTTCAAGAATAACTGCTTGCTCTGCTTTTGCCTTGCGCTTCGGTATGCAAAGTGGGTGGGCAGGGAAACCGTTCGGTCCTGATCCCGGCGGCGGCAACTTGCGGCGCCCCGGAAGCAAAGCGCTTCAAGCTGACATGCGAACATGTAGCTAGGGTGCCTGCTTTCGGCACTGATGCCCGGCTGGATCAAGGTGACTACAACTTCAGCTGCGGAGAGGGGAGGCAGCTGATCGACAATGCGACCTGGTACAGGCCGAGCACGGGAGGGGCTGCAAAGACCAGCAGCTGGAAGAATCTACGGGTTTGGAGCAGCTCCAACAAGCATCCCACCCTCTGTGCCATGTTTGGAGCTTCAGAAGCACGGGTGGCAAAACATGCTGTCCATACCCCAGAGGACGTAGGCTGTGCAGAACACTAAATGGGCATGGAAGCCGAAGATAGTCGAATGGGCACAAAGCACATGCATATAGTTGGAGCAGCAGCAACATCACAAGGGTTAGCAAGGCTCGGCCATCTAGGCAATGGACAGTACTTACGTGATCCGGAAAGCACGGCGAGATGAAGAGCCGCTGCTTTTTGACTTGTGGCATGCTTCTGTCCGGGCAACGCACAGCTTCCTTTCCGAGGAGGCATTGGCTGAGATTGCCATGGAGGTGAAGACGAAGTTTTTGCCAAATGTTGAGCCAGATGTCATTGTTGACGCGACAGACCGGCCGATGGGCTTCATGGTCATGACGGGAGACAGCATCGATGCACTGTTTGTTGATGCGGGGCACCGCGGCCAGGGTTTAGGGACCTTGCTCATGGATGCTGCCAAGTCCGGACGGACGTCGTTGACCTTGGAGGTGAACGAACAGAACACTGCAGCATGGGCCTTCTACCACCGGTGCGGTTTCACGGATTCTGATCGGAGGGCCCAAGACGATGCTGGACGGCCCTTTCCGCTCATCGTAATGAAGTGGACAAGACAGCTGCCACTCGAGCCGTCCGGTTGAACGCAAATTTCCAGCACATCCGCACTTGCTCGACATCGGATCGGCGTCAAAGTACGCCTACGAGTACGACTAGGATCTTGCCAACACGACGCCACCAGGTTTTGCGGTACAGGAGCTGCTATCCTACTGTATCACCACCGTCAACCTCGCGTGTTTTTTTCTGATATATGCGCACTGGGAGGTGTGCCGACCCAGGCGCCTGCTCGGAGCTGGACAATGAGACCTGCTGCGAGGCGGGCCTATGCATTTGCTATGTCTAAGGCCCTCTGCTCAGCAGCTAAGCCAAATAACGCGAAGGATATGCCGTCGACAACCAGCTCGACGACGACCACGGTCCCATCCCCATCCTGAGCAGTCCGCACAGGCATGTGCGGTTGGTCGTGATGAACTCCGGCAAGTGGCCAGCAGTAGGATAGCCCAATGGCCCCCACCTGCAGCCTCATGTCGGGAGATTGCCAAGGAAGCTCCGTGTGTTTTCAACGACACAAACTGCAGCAATGAAACTGTTGTACGGGCCTCGGCATCCGAAATCATAGCGAGCAGATAGGCGCAGTGTTTCAACTTGTCATGAGGCCCTAATTTTCTATCCCGACCTGTTGACATAGGAACTTGGCCGGCGGCTCATGGGCCCCATGAGCCCTCCGATGGACGTGACGATTCTGGAAGCTACCTTTGACATTCAGGCAGGGCAGCTTGCAGTCTGCCTACAAGTGCCGAGCGTGATCTACCCTCCAAGCAACGGACGAAAGCCTAAAGCGAGGTTTGTTCGCCTCGTGCCAGTGTGAGTCGCCAGGTGCTGGCATCACCCATGTTTGTGCTTCCCATCAAAGTCTGCGAGACGAGGTGCCCCCAGGATTCTACTGTATGCCCTTGTCCCAGAAGCCAACATTCTTCTGCCTAGACTGCTGTTTGAAGAAGTAGGTAGGTCCCCGTCTTTGTCCGGCAGGTACCAGGATTTGCACAACCGCACTGCGAGGATCTACGTCAACCTTCAGGCATGCCTTGCGCCTTGCAATTGCAGTGGCCGCCAAAGCTTGACGTGCAACTCCGGCGTGGCTCTCACACGGTGCAGGTTCCGGTGAACGTTCGCGGGCGGCGAGTGCCGCAGGAATTCGAGGCCATGTACTCTTTCTTCAGTGGACGAAGCTGGAGACGGATAGACTTCGGACCGCACTGGATTCATGTGTTCATGCACGGGCCATCTCTTGTGCTTTGCAGGTCCACATACCGCCGACGGCCGTGCAGGACGGCTTCAGTTTGCTTCGGATCGACTGACTAAGTCATCTAAGTCTTCTAATTGTGAGCGATGTTTAGCAGGTGTGCAGAGTCGACGGCTGAACAGCAAAATGCGGGGAACGGGCCCGCCAGTCGTTGCTTCAGCATGTCATGCAGCAGCCATGTAGACAAATGACCGAAGCAACTACACTTCATGCGAGTTGCACGCTGGAATGTGATGCATCATGTTGAACGCCCCAATTGGCCCATGGTCGCCGTTGCCGTGGTCCTCAGTTAAGCAGCCGGGCTGCGGCTGCAGGCGGAAGGAAGCTTCGTGGCCCCCGGTGCGAGAGCTGCTTCATGGCCGCGCCTTCCTTGCGAGTTCTGACCATGTTTGGGTTTTATTGGAGTCGTCGATCCCAAGGTTCCCGCAGCAGGAAGACCGCTTCCGAAGCTCCCTTTCTGCTGGTTTCGCTGCTGGCTTGGCATCTGGCTTCGTGTGTCGACAGCCCAGGCACACAGCCGTGCAAACAAGACGGTTTCCCTACTGATAGGCGGCTTTGGACAGAGATAGCTTTGATGAGCTTGCGTGCCATATGCGCTTCGGGCCTCGTGCGTGTTCGTGTTCAGAGCTTTGTTTGTTTGAGGTTTTCGAGACTGGCCCTTTGTCTGCAGATGAATGCTGCGAGTGCGCCAGCAAAGCAACAAAGCTGATGCTGCGGGGTCCTGGTCTCGACTCAGGAGCGCGCTGCCAGCCCTCCGTGGCTGCCGGGGAATGAGGAGTGCTCTAGCCCCCGAAAGGGAGGTCACGGATTGACTGAACTCCCCTCGAACTTGTCGAGCTTGGCATCGGAGGAGCTAGCGAAGATCGCTGCAGGGGAGCGACCCCTTGGAGCCATGGCCGTGAGGACATGTAAGCTCTGAGCAATTCCAAGAAGCGCAGTGTGCAGTTGTCATACGCATTGCCATAGTCATTTTGCAGCAGAGCATCTGTCAATGTCACAACTTGCTGCAAGTCCAACCTACCGTATGTGTTGCAAAGGATTTTACTGTCTTCGTTCGCCTGCAGATGAGCGGGCGATGGTCCTCTGCGAGCTTCAAACGAAGGAGTTGCTTGGTATTGCACATCTGGCACCGTCTGTAAAGGCCTATGTCACCCATGATGGTCCCATGATGTGTGGCCCGGAGTTCCTGCCAGGGATGGGAAGCGTCGCTTCCACATTCCTGCATCCAAAGGTCTTGAGCAGTTTGAGGTGGGCGAGTGGGTTTCGCTTCCGTTCAGATACCGGCTTGGACAGTTCTGTCATTATCCCCGACTTCGGGCTTGACTGCAACAACGCTTGATTCGCTAGATGGTGTTGGTGTGGAAGCACCCCAAAAGCAACCGTCGGCTTTCGTGTGCAGGGACAGCCGTTTCTGCTGCAGCCGCTGAAGGCTCTGTGCACTGGAAGGTGAAAAGAGGACTTTGCCGTAGCTGTTGTGTGTTTTGACCGCTGCCACTTACAAGTGGTAGCGGAGCCTGATTCGATCCGGGGCGGCTGCTTGGTGCTGCAGTCTTTTGGGTGGAAGCTTTGCGAAGCTTCGTGGGCTGGCCTGTGGAGAGGCAGCCGAGCCTTGGGGGAGTTCAGCGAGAACTCTTTGGTGGTTGAAAGGTAAGTGGTTGTGGTTGTGAACTTTGAGGCAGAGTTTGTGGTGTCTGCTATCTTTGGCAGACTGCTTGCTGAGAAAGGAAGGAGCGGCTTGAGCGCTCGAGTGCACAGGGCCGATGGCGCGGTCTTACTACGAGACTTTTTGGGAGGCCGAGGCGGGCGACTCTTTTGGGGAACAGTCAACACCTCCGTCGCATACTCGGCGGAGGCGCCGCTGGAGCCACAGTGGAGACACCGGAGGTGTCTCGAGTGGGGGGCCCGATGGCTCGTCGGGCTACGAGAGCGAGGAGAAGCAGTCGGCACCGCGCCGTGATGGATGGGATGGCTGGGCTGAAGATGGCTCCTGGGGTGGGGGCTCCTTCTCCGAGGCCTTCGGAACATGGCGAGGAAGACGGGGCTTCAATGAAAATTGGAGCTGGAAATCCGACGTCGAGCCGGACGCCACGATCAAGGACGACCCGAACGACGAGGAGACTGAGGACCTGCGTGGCAAGGTCAAGGTGGTGGGAGGCCAGGCCGGCCCGGAACGGAAGGGCACGGGCAAGGTTTCCAACACGTATCCTCCAGTGTTTCGTGCGAAGCCTCAGGAGTCCTACCAGGAGTGGAAAAGAAGTGTGGAGTTTTGGATCGGAGGTGAAGGTGAGCAGCTTCCGGTCGAGTTGATTGGGCCGAGGATGATGGTCCAGCTGAAGGACAGGGCGGCACAGCTGGTGAAGCATTTGCATATCAATGACATGAACGGGCCCAACGGGAAGCAGGTGATCTTCAAGGAGCCCGAGAAGTCGCCGTTGATAAAGCAAGTTGACCGCCACCGTGTCGATGAGCATCGTCGCCGGCTTATGCAGCTTAATCGTGCCCCCGGGGAAAGCATGGAATCCTACGTGACACGGGCCGGGGTCTACCGGAGCCACTTGTTGGGGGTGGACCCAAATATGGCCATGGGAGAAGCGTTTTACGTGGGGCACCTCCTGGACCATGCCAAGTTGACCAAGAGGGACCGGGCGATGATCAAGACGAAGGCGGGGGACTTGACCGATGAGGAGAAGGTGACCTCGGCGATGATAGAGCTGGCCAGCGAAATGGACGGAGAAAGCGGCTTCCCAGTGGGAGCCTCAGAGCCCAATCTGGCGAGGAATGGCGAGGAATGGCTCTTGCAAAGGGATCCTCGCAACAATGGGCGGCAGCCAACTGGGCAACCTGGAGGCCGAGCTCTTCGAGGTGCTTTTCTGGCCGAGGCGGACGAGGAGTCGGTGCTGGGCGAGGATTTTGGAGGTGAGACAGACGGCCCAGAGGCCGATGCTGCCCCGCCCGAGCTGCTGCACCTCGAGCACGAGGCTTTTGGGACTCAGTTCAAGGCCAGGCAGAAGATTGCTGAAGTGCGGAAGCTGAGGCAGTACTACCAGAAGCCTGACACCGAGGAGAAGAAGAAGTGGCTCACCGAGCAGATGAAGAAGAACCCGTGTCATGCTTGCGGGCAGCTGGGGCATTGGAGCAGAGAATGCCCTATGAAGGCTCAGCAGGTGCTCTTTACCAAGTCGCGGCCCTCTACCTTCACGTCGGCGCCTTCGAGAGTTGCTACCATTCCGGAGGAGGATGAGGGTGCCGAGTGGGCGCTGCTAGCTTCTCTGTGCTCCAAAGGAGCGGGGGCGTCGGATGCCGGATCTCGCGCCACGGGGCAATACATGGGAGCGACCGGAGTGTTTGTGAGTGTGAGGGAGTCGGCCACCAAGCAAGTGCACACGGCATTTAGCACGGTCAGCATGGGGCTCTACGATGTATGTTGGTCCATGCAGCAGTTGGCGTTCAAGGTGATTTTGGATATCGGGTGCATGCGTTCTGTGGTGGGGGTTCGTTGGGCCACGGAAGTTCTTGAACGTTGGAAGGCCGAAGGGCGGTGGCATCGGGTGGAGAAGGAGAATGAGGCCTTTCGTTTCGGGGACGGGGAGGTCTTACACAGCCGCTATCGCATGGAGTTCATCGGCTCGTTTGCGGGCGAGCCTGTGGTTTATGGCTTTAGCGTCGTGGAGGGAGTGTGTCCACCGTTGTTTTCTCGATCTGGGTGCACGCAGTTGGGTGTGGTGATCGACTGTGAGCATCATTCCATTTCGTCGAGACGGTTGGGGATAAAGTCGTTTGGGCTGGGCCGGGCGGAAGGGCATTACACTCTGTGCATCGATGACCCTGGCATGGATGTTGCTGCGATTGATCTGCCTAGGGACTTCAGTTTGGGCGCTGGCATGGATGCAATGTCTATCTGTTCGGAAGTTTTGCCCGAGAAGCCGGAGAAGCCCGTGTGTTCTTCCTCAGATTTCGCGCATGGCAGCAGCCTCGGTGCCCGAGCCCAAGCCGCTGTGCAAACTATGCAAGTCCCCCGATCACAAGTCGAGGGACTGCCCGACGCTGGAGAACATCTCGGACGAGGACGACTTTGCGATGGTGACCGATCAAGGGGAGGACAAGGATCCCCGCCGGCGCAAGGCCAAGCAGCCTCCTCCTCGAGCGGCCGCAACTCCTATGCCGCCGACGTCGTTGCTGGCTCCTGCGATCGATCCGGTGGCAGTGGGGAGCTCGGACCTGACGGCGGAGGAGATTGCACTGCTGACCAAGCGGAGACAGAAGGCGGCCCAGGCCAAGAGCAAGGCCCAGCAACACCGGGCGTTGACGGGGGAGAAGGCGGATTACCCCTCGCTGTCCCATGTTTGGTCAGCGGAGGTGGGGCTAAATTTGGCAGCGGCAACCCGCAGTCGGATGGTGACCTTCGGCTGGAAGAGGATGCTGTGGCAGCTGAGGGTGAAGAAGGCCATCGAGCAGGAGGGCACCAAGCGTTGGAAGCGCAACCCGCGTTGGCTGGCGAAGCTCTTCGGCAAGGAGGTGGCAGCGCTGTGGGGACACTTCGGGGCGATGCGGCAGAAGATCAACAACCCCGACGTGTGGCACCTGATGTGAGGTCGGCTTTGGCGCGGCCTCAACGTGGTCTTACGCAGAAGATGAAGAAGGCCGTGGCCGAGGGGCAGAAGACTATGGAGATGGTGATGCACGCCGCGGCCGATCCTGGAAGCTACTGTGTGATGGAGATGGGGTCAGCCGCTTCCCCTCTTCCGCCTTGCCGGGGTTCACTCTCGTCATGGAGCTGTTCGTCGACATTGGAGGTGGATGTTGGCTGTGGCCCCGACTTCCAGGAGAAGAGCAAGAAGTTCATTGCGGAGGTCCGGGAGCAAAAGCCGGACTTGGTGATCATCCGGCCTGTTCCTTGGCTTTTGCGGGCTACTGAGGCCGATGAGCAGCTGTGGGAGCGACGCAGACTGCAACTGCCTTTGTGGCACGTGGTTCTGGAGTTGTGGAAGCTCCAGGACGAGGCGGGCCGTTTGGTGGTGTTGTCGCAGCCGGTGGCTTCAGAGGCTCTTTTCCTCACTTTTCTAAAGGAGAGGCGCGAGGTGCTACGGGTGGTGGTGGCAACGTGCGCTTTTGCGGAGGATGGCCAAGCACTGCGCCAGCAACCGGAGGAGCTCTACCTGGAGGTCAACGAGGGGAAGTTTGCAGCGGCCCTTCAGTATCGCAGTTGGTGTCAGTGCCCTCCGGCCGCCCACGCACGGTCGCGCAACGAGGGTGTCGGCCCTTCTTCGGGATGGACGGCTCGACTTTGTCGTCATGTGCTGGCTGCGGCGGAGCAGAGCCTCACGACCCACCGCGAGGCGAGCTACTTGGGCCTCGCTGATGCGGTGCCGTCTTCGGAGGTGAGGATCTGGGAGACAGCGCCCGTGAGCAGTGCTTCAGTGCCTGAGGAAAATCTGCGGAAGGCGTTGCAGGAGAATGGGGCAACGGGCGAGAGGTTCGACTTCGTGACGTTTGAAGGCCCTTCCTTGCAGCAACCTCGCCGACTACGCCATACCGTTGCCCATTTACATGTCACGCTCGGACGCCCGTCCAACGAGCGGCTGGCCCGCATGTTGGTGCTAAGTGGGGGGCAAAAGAGTGTCGTGGAGCTCGCGAACAACCTGAGATGCCAAGTCTGCTCCATGGTACAGCCACCACATGCGATGCCACAAGTGGCATATACGAAACCGAAACAATTTAATGAAAGAGTTTCGGGAGATACGTTCTTTATCTGGGACCAGGCTGGCACTAAGTTCGCGGTGACCCACTTCATCGATGGCCTCACTGACTACCGCCTGGGGGACCTCACGGATCGGCCAGACTCAAGTTTCTCTCGGGAGGTTCTGCAAGACCTCTGGTATGCCACGTTTGGCCCTCCTGACTTGTTGCTGACCGATGGAGGGACTGAGTTTGCGGGCCACGTGGAGATCCTCAATCAGCTCATCCCTGAAGGAGCTAAGTGGAGGATGGGGCAGGCTGAACGACACGGCGGCATCGTGAAGTTGATGATCATGCGGATGGCCAAGGCCTTGTCTTTGAAGGGGCTCGATAGCATGCGTCAGGCAGCTTTGGCGGCGTTCTCGGCGAAGAACCGCCTGATGAACAAAGGTGGTGTGTCGCCTATCCAAGCGGTGACGGGGAGGAGCTCGCCGTTGCCGGGGTCTCTCATGAACCAGCTTGGGACGGGGCGGATGCGCTATCAGTACAACCAGGCGATGGAGACCAACGAGGCCTTGCGGCGAGCGGATCGTGTACGGCATGGGGCGGTGGAAGCTTTTCATTGGCTCGACGCGCACACCACTTTGCGCAAGGCTTTGACTACCCGCTCCCGCCCCCCTACGCTGGAAGGCATCCGAGAAGGGGCGGTGGTGTATGTTTACGATCCGCCCAACAGCCGCCGAGGCCAAGCTCGTCGTCTGCAGGACAATGAGTCGTGGAGCGGCCCGGGCGTTATTGTCTGCGTGGAGCGGGACACCCCGGTGCCGCAAAGATTGTGGGTGCGTCTTCGCGGACGAGTGAAAGCTTTTCCTTTGGAGAAGGTGCGGTTGGCTACCATCGACGAGATGGCCAGCGCCCAGTATGTGCGGGAATCCCTGGCCGAGGTGGAAAAGGAGCTGCAAGGCGGCCAGATGTTGGTCGAAGAGGATGAGCTCCCTGCAGTCGAGGGGAAGGGCAAGGCCACGCGGAAGCGCGAGGACAGTTCGTCCTCTTCTTCCTCGTCGTCGGAGGAGGACATGGCGGCGAACGAGGTGACGGACGAGCAGGCCCAGCTGCACGAGGAGCGGGCAAAGTTGCTTGACGATGTGCCCATGAGCGTCCGTCAGAACTTACAAGAGAAGCGCGTGGCGGAGAAGGATGGCCCACTGCCTACGGACCCCCACGAGTTGGACTTTGCGAAGAAGCGCCGGCTGTTCGACAAGTTGGCCAAGGACCTCGAGCCGCCCACAACTCTACAAGAGGGCCAGATCCGCGACCACCTCTCCAAGATCTATGGCCAGTTCAAGGAGGTCAAGAAGGCGATGAAGAAGCAGAGGCCCGTGGGTGGCCGAAAGCGAAATGGACGTCGGGGACAGGCTGCTTCCTCCGCGGCGGTACTTGTGGCGGAGGAAGTGGACGTGGGCGAGTGGTTCCGGCCGGGCGAGTACGAGGCGATGTTCATGGACACGGTGGGCCATTGGACCTTGTGGAGTGCTTCCTCTAAGCACGCTGGGGAGCAAGGCCTGACTTCGATCGCGGCCTCGCTCAAGAAAGTTGATGCCGAGGCCCTGGCGGAGGGGGTCACACAGGTCAAGACCGGCAAGGCCCGTGTGGAATACCGATGGGGTGACCTTAGCCCTGAATGGCGCAAGGCTTTCGTGGAGCCGTTAAAGAAGGCGGTGGGAGTGTACTTGGATCACCATGGCATCCAAGGGGTGCCAAAAGGGCAGGTGGTTGATCCGCAGCGAGTGCTCAGTTCGCAATTCGTCTTGACGAACAAAGGGGCCGAGGACCTCGAGAATGCCGAGCTGAAGGCACGCTGGATCTTCGGCGGCCACCGGGACCCTGATGCTGGTTTGTATGCCACTAGCTCTCCGACGGCATCCACGCTGGGCCACAACTTGCTCAACTTTGTGGCTGTGCAGATGGGGTGGGTGGTGCATTACGAGGACGTGAGTGCCGCATTCTTACAGGGGAAAGAACTTCCTCGCACCGAGAAGGTGTATGTCCGAGTGCCCGCGGGTTATCCGGAGGAGGTTGCTGAGTTCCTGTTGGCGGGCCTGCAGGGTGATTCGCGCCCTGATTTGGTGCAGTTAACCAAGGCTGGCTTTGGACTGCCGGAGAGCCCTCGCCTGTGGTACCTGGAGTACAAGGACACGATTGAGGAGCTGGGGCTACGGGAGTTGGCTTTGGTGCCCGGGTTGTTTCGGGCCTTTCATCCGGATGGCACGTTGCGGGCAATGGCCTCGATACATGTGGATGACACCCGCTACGCTGGCGACGAGTCGAGCCAAGTGTTGTGGGATGCCCTGCACCAGAAGTTGAAGTTTGGCAAGTTGCGGCGAGCCACAGAAGGCTGGCCTGATGGATGGCAAAAGTTCTGCGGCCGCTGGGAGAAACAATGCCCAACGACGTTTGAGATGTGGGTAAGCACGCAGGAGTACGTGAAGTCCATACCCTTAGCACGTGGCCGAGAAGAAAAGACGGTGCCCACGGCTAATGCCAGAGGATCTTCGACGTCGGGTTCAACAGTCACTTCTACCTCAACTTCCGGGGGTTCTTCGACTTTGGGTTCAGCAGTCACTTCTACCTCAACTTCCGGGGGGTCTTCTACGTTAGGTTCAGCAGTCACTTCTACCACAACTTCCGGGGGGTCTGAGTTGTCGTTGGATATGCCAGCAGCCGATGGTAACGACAAGGTGGTCATTGAGATGATGCACGATCAGATCACCGGTGTCAATGAGGAGCCGGAGTTAAGCCCTGAGGAGCGCAAGTTGATCGGGTCTATCGTGGGGCAGTTAAATTGGGCTGCTAGGCAGGGCCGCTACGACTTGTCGTTCGTGTCGTCCATGGTGCAGCAGCTAGCTGGACAAGGGAGGGCAGAAGCTCTCAAGTGGGTCAACAGTGCTGTCCGCCGTGCTCGTGAAGGCTGTGACAGTGTGATCCGCCGCTTTCCCTGTGCCTTGGACGAGATGCTGATAGTGTCAGAGTGATGCGGCTTTTGGTGCGATGCCCAATGGGGGAAGCCAGGGGGGAACTTTGGTGATGATTGCCGATCCGGCAATCCTCGCTTGACCAGGGCCCGTCTACATCGTGGAGGCAATGAGCTCAAAGATCCAGCGGGTGGTTCGGTGCTCGATGTCGGCGGAGGTGAGTTCGTTGGCCACAGCTTTCGAGCACGGAGATTATGCTCGTGCCGTTTGGGCCGAGTTGGTGGACCACACGTTCAAGCTGGGACAATGGAAGCTGTCAGCGGCCAAATGGAGGCATCTCTTGGTCACCGATGCGAAGACAGGCTACGATGCCATCGCCTCGGAGGTGTTGCCCTCCGACCGGAAGATCGCTATCGATGTGGGGGTACTCCGAGAAGGACTTCTTGAGCCGCACTCGGAGAACTACATTCGTTGGGTGCCGGGATCCGAGATGCCCGGCGACGGGCTAACCAAGTGGGCTCACAACCAGGTGCTCACGAAGGTGATGTGCGATGGCGAGTGGTCGCTCGTGGACACGCCGGAGGCTCAATGAGCTGCGGAGGTTGGCGGCTACGAAGAGATCTGCCTGGCGCCGGAAGGTCAAACAACAAGCAGCCTGAAAGTGCTGCTTCTTTTACTGGTTGCTTTTACCAAAGGGGGTTCGTGTGGAAGCACCCCAAAAGCAACCGTCGGCTTTCGTGTGCAGGGACAGCCGTTTCTGCTGCAGCCGCTGAAGGCTCTGTGCACTGGAAGGTGAAAAGAGGACTTTGCCGTAGCTGTTGTGTGTTTTGACCGCTGCCACTTACAAGTGTTGGCGATTACAGTAACTTCACAGGTCGCTGGAGGATTATCTGAAGAATGAGCAAGAAGCTCCGCCTAAACCTAGTGACCTAGTGTCGGCCGGGCAGAGCATGGAAATGGTCCTGAGAAGGTGGCAGAACTGCCCTTCTCTGAGGGGAAGCTTGGAGGGCACCTCAGCTGCAAAACGCATCCTGCACAGGCTCCAGGAACCATCATAGCAAGACTTGATTCTGCTGCTTTGGAAACCCGAGGCATCTGTGGGATGGCGGCATCCTCATGGCTATCTGGGCAGCGCAGCGATGCGACGCACTGGCCGGACACAGAGTGTTGGAGCTTGGCTCAGGTGGGAGCGAAAACAGAAATGGGCGTGGTAACTGCATGATGAAGGGTCCAAAGTCTCATCTCCAAGCGCGACATGAGAAGCGCTGGAGCTGGCAGGCGTGGGGCTTCTGGGCATAGTCTTGGCACGATGTTGTGCTGCCTCCGTGGTTCTTTCAGCACCTCGACTTTCTGAAACATGACCCTAGGTGACATACTGTCATACTTCCGCGTTCAAGAAGAGCAGCAAGAAGTGTCCAATGGAAGCTTGACGGCCTGCTGAGGACTTCGGTCCCAATGAGGGTGCGGTGGAGGTGGCCGAGGACCAACAAACAGGATGAACCTGTCCAATCAGAGGACATAGAGATACAGAGAGTGCTCGTCAGGACAAGGATCGTCTCATCCCACCGTTGCTGCTGTCGAGACTGTTGCTCGGCATGCACAGCCACCTCTGTCCGGAGTCCCTTCGCGTATAGATCGCGCCATCTGAGGCGGGACAATGTTATGCGCAACAGACTCAGCAATGCTGAAGCCACTCGGATTGGAGACCTACCTTTCGTGCAACAAATCCTGGAGAAGCATCGTGCAAGTTTAGCCCCCAAGGCCCCAAAGCCGTTATTAGTCTCTGGGTGAGAAAGAGGGATATATATAAACATATAATATCTACACATACGTACACACACACACACATACACTCTCATCTTATGCACACACATAGATGCTTGCATTCCAAGTATGCTGAACAGGCAGAAGAGTGAAGGGGTGATTGTTCTCGCAGAAGAAGCAAGCTTGGCTTCTATTTTTTGACGAGACCTGATCTGGCGATAGAAGGCCCAAACACGATGGTTCACTCTGCTTTTCGTTGAATCCCTGGCTGCGGCGCTGAGAGGTCTGGCATTTGGACTGGCTCGACTTCCTCCGAGGCTGAAATTTGTCGGAGGACTTATGGCTGCTTTTGAACTCGTCCAAGAAAGACGGAGGTTTCACGCGCACTGCGAGCAGTACTGGTAAACCTTGACCGTTTCGGTACCGATCTTAAAGATCGTGATCTCGATAATGTTCGGCTGCTCGTCATGGTTTTGGCGGTGGCGGCGATGAGTTTGCTGTTTCTCTTCCCTCATTATCCACCATTTAGTCATCCACTTTGATCGCCTCTCAAACATCCTGTATCACCCTCGTCGTGGCCCTCGTCATGGTCAGAAGCATGCGTGCGCAAACTTCCGAATGGAGTCCAGCACATTTTGAGCCTCTCTTCTGGGATTCCAGGATCAGAATGAGTGTGATGCGGTATGGTTGCTAGATTCTAGCTGTTCGTCTACTCAGACTCAGACTTAAACCCTGGAACGTCGGAATCCTCCAGCACAGTCTGTGCAGGCCGGGAGCCGACCGAGCGCTTCGAGCGAGTTGTTGCAGCTGCACCCTGTCGCAAGGGTAGGTGCCCGGAAGAAAGCAGCTTCTCTTCAGTCATCGCAACAACAATGCCAAAGACAGCAGAATCAGTACCTCTACAACCAGTAGCAGGTCTCGATTCAGCGCCAGTGAATTAGAAGTATAAGTTGTTCTAGCAGACTTGCATTGTATTTCGTCCTGCCACTGAAATCGTGCTTGTAGACAGAGTAAGAAGCTTGGTGATGCAGTACTACATCATGGCCTTAGCTCGAGAAAAGTGCTTGTCCTCGCGTGCAGCATTGGGAGGAGTTAGGAGCAAAAGAGCCCATTGTGTGCACGGCCGCGCCCAGCAGCAGCATTGCAGTTTGGCTTCAGGATGTGGTCTACTATGCTGCAGATTTGCCTGCGCTGGCGGCTGCCATTGCTGCACACTTGCACCTCGGGTTGCGGCAGTTCGCATGACGTGCGCATGGCCTCATGGGATGTTTTTGAACTCCGTCTTGCGGAGGCTTCCAAGAGGCTTGGCCTTCGTCGCTGTTCCTCGCCGGCAGTGGCGCGGCGCGCAGGCCAGAGGAAGTCGGTGAACTCCAAGGCTTGCGTTGCTACAGTCTCGGAGGCCTCCGAACGCAGCACCGCAGAGGACACACCGTGTCTTGGAGGCCACACGTCATGTCCTCCTCACGGCCGCATTGGACTGTGGAGGACCTGATCAAAGCACTGGAGCCTTTCGGTGAGGTCCAGGTGGAGGAATTTATCGGTGTCGGCCCTAGCTTCCCGGTCCCGAGACGATTGCATCGTTCCTGCCTCTGGCCTTACTTGTATTTTGCCTCAGCCCAGGGTACTGCTGCACCCTGGAGGAGCACCCAGTCGCATTAATCCAGCTGCAAAGATCAGCTGACTGAGAATGCAGACTCCGACCGGTGCCAAAGACTGCGCGAGCCTGGATCGAGCTGATAAAGCGGAAGGACGAGTGTTGTCGACCATCGCGACCACCACGAAGACCACCCCCACCGCCACCACCACCACCACCACCACCACCACCACCACAGCAATTGCTGCTGGTTTGGCTGCTGCTGTTGTCATGGTCGTTACTTCCGGGCTCCAGTGTCATGAACCGTTGCAGGACATGCTTGGCAACTTCCCGAAAGAAGCAGCCATGATATCCTTCTCGTCTGCCTTGCCTGTTTGCCGCCTGGGTGCCAGCTTATGTGGCGGCAGCAAGAGGTTGCAGAAATGAAGTAAATGGAACCGTGCTCACGAGTCCTCCGTGCCCTTTTATTTGTCAGGCACGATCTACAAGCGCCTGAGCTGGATGTGTGAGAGCCTCAGGATTTGCAGCAGAAGGCAACTCCCCTCGTTGACAGAACCTTCTTGCACAATCAGGAAAGCCTGCCATCCACCGAACAATCGAAATGCTACCGAGCAGGACGCCATTCCCTGCAGAGTCGAGCGCAGTTTAGATCGCTTCGATGTGAAGCGAGCCACAGAGCCTCTGCTGCAGCCGACAGGAGATCATCCAGCTGAGCTGGGGGCCTAGAAAGCCTTCGGGCGATCCACATTCATAGACATCACCTTTGACTCCAGGCTTCACGGAAGAGATCAAGGCTGGACATGGCTTTTTCGAGCTATGGGATGTGGAAGATCAGAGTGGAGCCTCTGAGAGCACACAGTCCAAGGGGTGCAGGTGGAGAGGACCAGTTGCTACTCAGGCAGTGTGTAGGAGGTAGCCACAGCAGTTTAATATGTTAATGAAGACACAAGGGCAGTGGTCTAAATACCCTGTCGCGAAGTTTGTACAAAAGGACCTATTTGATTGCTGGGGTCTAGATCTGTATGTTCAACAACTAGGGCTCGTAGGATAGCGGTAGCCTGGCGCTAGGGATCTAGATAGCAATTGGTTTGTGATATATTTAGTTAGTAGCTAATATGAAAAGTCTGTACACCTTT